CCTTTTGAATTAGTATTGGTCACACTGTTTCCGAGGGACCCTTAACTTTCTAAAAGAGAAAATTCCTGTCTGAAGATTGATTATCTTTAAATTTACTTCAGTATGTATCGGATTTTCGAAAATGTTGCTATGCATGTGAGTGTAGGGTTAATTTAAATATACAAAAGTAATGAAATCAGTTGATGGAATGCTTCGGAAAGACGTTTTAACTGGTATAGTACTTGTTTTACTTATATGGACCTTACAGGAATCTTTGGTCCTTATAGTATGAAAGAAAGCAAGTGACCTTAAATTATTTTATTAATACTCTGGAGAGAACGAGGCAAAAGCAAATGTAGTCATATAGATTATGTTTAAAAAGAATTTTTGACAGAGGTAGCAAATCTAGTTAAACTATAACTCTTTTGTAAATTGTTCCACAAAAATAAATGTTCAATTGAATCTAATAGTGTGAAAATTATTGAAAAGGTCTGATCCTGTCGCAAGCTTGAAACTCTGATATTCTCGAAAATCTTGGATGAAACTTGCTCATTTGAACCGTCCAAACGAGATGATGAAAAGACTCTATTTATGTAATGAATTTCTGTTATTCCCACACGGACTATAATATCGATGAGTCATTCTTGAAATGTGAGCCAATACAGCATCATATAGAACAATCCTGTAAAACAAAAGTACCTAAGACAAGAAGTTCAGTATTTATTGGATAATGACTTTATTGAACCAAGTCAAAGCAATTACAGCTCTCCATGTATTTTTGTACCGAAATCAATGGAACATATAGAATGTGTACAGATTTACCGTAAGTGAACTCTGTAACAAAAACTGATTCATTTCCTATACCAAGAATTGATGACTGCATTGACAAAATTGGAAAAAAGCAAAGTATGTAACAAAGTTGATCTTCTAAAAGGATTCTGGCAAAGTTCCACTTACTGATAGAGCTAGAAATATCAGCCTTTGTAACACTAGACGCTTATATCAATATAAAGTCATGCCCTTTGGTATGAAAAAACTCACCAGCAACTTTTCAGAGGACTTATAAACATGGTAATATTGGTCTACACGGATGTGACGCATACCATTGATGACGCAATCATCTATTCTGATGAATGGGAGGAACATCTCAAAACAATTAGAGCATTCTGTCGACCGACTTAGTGATGCTAAATTGACAGTTAATCTTGCAAAAAGTGATTTTGTCATGCAATTTTAACATTTTTAGGGACATGTAGTGGGACAGGGTAAAGTAAAACCCAATAGAAGCTAAGGTCAAAGCTATCTCTGAATTTCCTGTGCAACTTGTAAAAGACAACTGATGCGATTTTCTTCGGTATGGCAGGGTATTATCGTAATTTTGTAATAATTTTTCGGTCTTATTGGCAGAACCATTGACAAATTGTTAAAGAAAAAGAAACAAATTCATTTGGATGACAAGTGCAAATGGCATTTGACAGCCTTAAAGCCATACTTAAGAGTGCACCAGTTCTTCTCTGGCACCAGATTTTAATAAAACTTTAAGTCAAGCTGTAGATGCTAGTGACCATAGGTGCTGAAGTGTATTGATCCAAAGAAGACAACAATGGTGTTGACCATCTGTTTGTTACTTTTCTAAAAGATTTTAATGACATCAGAAAAAATTACTTCTACTATAGAGAAAGAGTGCCTTGCTCTTATTCTTGCTATTTCAGCAGTTTGAAGTTTATCTAACTTCTTCAAAGTTGCCTGTTGTTGTTCTTAGTGATCACAATCCCTCACTTTCTTGCATAAACTTAAAAACAAAAATCAAAAGGTTGTTGAGGTGGAGCTTATTTTTTGCAAGAATATAGTCTTGACATTAGACACATTAAAGGGAAAGATAATTTGATCCCTGATTGTACTTTCACGTGTCTAAAAACTGTTATTTGCAGTATTTTAAATTTAACATTTATATGATATGATTGGTTATTTTTTTTGTTGTTGTTTGCTATTGTTTGTAATACACATATATATGAATGTATAAAATGTTTAACATTTCTCCTATGTTATTTGTTAGTTACATTGTTTGAATTTATGTAAAAGAAATATTCATTTCATTCATGTTTCTTTTTCTTGAATAGGGGAAGTGTTATGTTTGCAACATATAACATGTAAATAGTTTATATCTGACAAGTTTGTATTTCCAATATTATCATATGTTCTATTTTTAGAACATAAACTACAGTGTATGTACTAGAAGGTTCTTAACTGTTGTAGAAAACTCATGCATTATATTTAGATAGAAACTTCTGGAATGATCTTTATAATTGTTGAAGTTGCTAGATTATGATTACTTGAGAACATAATAGAACCTTTCTGGAAACTTCTTAGTTAATATATAATAAGGAGACATTTTTCATTAATTACTTATCTTTAAGTCATCAGTTACTTTTAAGTCATCAGTGATCTTTAAGTATCTTTACCTTTTTAGTCATCAGTAATCTTTTAAGTCATCCAATTATTTTGGAGTATTATTTCAACTTGGAAATTATGATTTATTGGAGCTTGGATTATTAATTATTCTTGTGGAATTTTTATTGTGGAATTTATTACTAAAGTGTTCTTGGATTTAACTTGGAGATTTAACTGTGTTATTCAAAAAGGATCATTCCAGGATCAGACTAGACATTTAAGATTTTTCACTTTATTTGGACTTCAAGGTATTTGTAAACGTAATTTGTTATTTTATTTTTCTTTAATATTTTTCTGTAATAAATTTGTTATATTGTTACAAGTTTGTTGCTGGCTTTTCTTTCTCGTTACGCCTGGCTCGTAACAACATTCAATACTAAAGGGCTTGACCACACAATACAGTGGTTGAGAGGGGGACATCTGGACCATTATGTCAACACATTATTTTTGTTCAGAATTTCAGTTTATTAAACTTTCATATGACAGTATAATACATGTCTAGAAGCATATCTGCAAATATACTGTCAAAGTCACTGGTGAATTTTAGGCTAAACATCCTTGTATGTCATAATAAAACATGTGCGAGTTCATTTGTTCAGTTTTCATTGGCTGTTAGTTGTGGAGTATAAATGTGTTATTCCCTATTAGATATGTTATGTTATGTAGTACATTTTGTGAAGTAGATTGTACACTTGATAGTTTATGTTGAAAAGAAATGTGCTTTGAAGATTAATTATAGAACCAATTTTATTTAAGTACACAGGATGATAAATCTGACAGAAACATTTCTTTGGAGGAACAGTGTATACTTCGAAGAAAGTGAACGCAGAATCAATAACACAATGTGCACGTAGTATCTTGAAATTATGAGAGTATACGCAGTATCATAATGTCTTTTTCCTGTAAAAAGTTCATTTTAAGACATTTTTCGTATAATTTAAAAGGAAAAATAACAAAGATTAAAAAAATATATTTATGAAACATGTTCTACAATAAAATAACTTCCATATCGAAATTCAGTAACGTCGTGCAGTGGTTTCGTCGTTGTTTTTTTTTATTATTCAATGAGTCCATTTTTACGCGTATGTAAATTCGAAAATACGTATGTGTGCGTAATAGCGAGGGAAAAATAAGTAAAGCAATTGATTACACTGATCTGGAATTTACTATAGTCGTATACGGTCCCTGCGCGATGCAGTTTTGTGCAATGCAAAATAGTACAGACAACGTCTTTTACGCTGAATTCGATGCGTCATCATTTTCTGTGCGTTTAGTCTGGTTCCATATGATTAAGTCTCAAAAATCTACGGCATTATAGGAAATTAACCAGATGAGCAGCCCATTATTTGTTTACGGAGAAAAGGACAAAAATGTAAATAACCAATGTTTTGCAATAAATTAAAAAACAGAAAATGGGTACAGAAATGTTAAGCATATGTATGTGAATGTTTTTATTTACTTTGCAATAATTTTAATACTCGCAAAATTAATCGTGTAATCCAGTAGTAAATCATGCGACTAACTCAAAATCATAAAGACACGACTGTCTTGCAGCCGAATAAAGGCTAAATCGAGAAATAAACGGCCATTTTTTTATTTAGAAAATAAACCACGAGCCCGGGTTTATTACTGTTAAAAATATTTTTATCTAGTAACAGAAAAAAATTTTTCTTATAACGGGGTAACGTGTTTTCATAAAAAACCCCAGGGCTTAGGGGAAATTACATTGCAAAAAAAGTGAGGGGAAATAATAATTTCTGAAAGTCTTTTGAACATGTTCTTTTTTCGCGAGCACAGAAAAATAAGTTTTCGTTTTATTCAGCGTGTTTTTAATAATCTTTTTTCGAAATAGGCTTGTCTCTGGTTCTGTTTGTTGCTAATTCCAAAACTACCATCCTTTCTTGATAAAGCCAGCTGAAAGGGATTTTGTTATTTTTTTGTTGTTGTTTTTTTACGTCAAGAATATAATAAAAGTAAGTTACACGAACAAAGTTTAAGATGATGTTTGAAATATAGTTAGTTGAACATTAAATGTCTTAAACAAAAATTTAAAAAAAAAATGTGTTAGCACCTGCTTGAAAATAGTTGACAATTTAAAATCTCTAAGAATCTGGTTTTGATCCTAAAGGGATTAAAGGATCACTTTTAAAAAGTATATAAATTTAATTCTTGTTTTTTTTTGCATAACGTTATATAGATTGTCAATAATTACAAATACATTGTAAACGACATTTCCCCCTATAATTTTTTAGACAGACAAAGATGCTTAAATTTTTTGCATTGGGAAAGTAATAAAAACGATTAGAATTATTTTCATTTCAGAAGAAATTTTTATTATTGTTTTTTTTAATTTTTGTTTCTTGTAAAATTTCAAGATTTTCTTGCATAGACTTCTGCTGAACTTAACTTTTGTACATTTATTTAAAAGAAGTTATGCGAATTTCCAAATGTGTCCGTCTAACAGTAAATAACGATTAAATGACAATAACAATTGTTTCCTGTTTGATCTTCATCTTACATTTTTTAAAGAACATAAAGCTTGATAAGATATTTTGATGGTATCATTTTAGTACTAATCCTAAGGTATACAAGGAGGCACACTTTGGCAGTGGAACATTACCAATACTTTTAGACCAAGTAAATTGTAAGGGATCTGAAACAAGCTTGCTTCAATGTTCACATGCAGGGTTGGGAAGACATGATTGTGGTCACCATGAACATGTTGGTATATTATGTAAATAAGGTAATATTACTTTTCATTGATTCTGAAAAATAAAATTCATTAAAAATCATTTTGAAGTTATTCAAATATAATTTTATGGCAAAGCATGCAAGAAACATGAGTTTTATAAATATAAAAAAAATGGTAATTGTTCTTTTTCCGCTGTGAATGGATGTGGCATAAATGATTAGAGCACACACTGTGTATAACAGAAGTTAAGTTTTGTTTAAAACTAGTGTGCTTCTTTTTTATTTAGCTACTTAAAATATTTCGTATAGTCGGTTAAAGAATGCGTTTAAATTATTAGTTTTGAAGAGTTTCTACCAAGTATAAACGGTTGTAAGTTTGTACAGTAGCGAAGGCTACATCGCGAACGATCATTCATACAAGGCCGTCAAGTCTAACAAAATATTTTTCAGGAACAAAGAATTTTATTAGAATTCTTTAATTTGAGGAGGACAAAAAAAGCATATTGACATTATACACATTCAGAAGACTTAAATAATGCATTAATTATTTACTTGACATAAGCTATATGTTCTAAATGTCTTTGCTTTTATATTATCTTTACAGCTGAATGCATTATGAAACAACAAGAAAGGTACCTAGACCATTTTATTCAAATGTTGTTTACAATAGGTTTGGAGACCCTTTTTCATTATCAAGACATTTGTCTTCTCCGATTCGATATTATAGTTAAACGTTCCGAGCAAGTATGAACAAAGACCTGATATTTCATTTAATTAAAGCTGAAGTAAACATAGCATATTTTCTTCAAATTCATACAATACTTTCATATTGCATATGAAATTATTTGCTACAATGACGCTTAAAGCTGTTGCTATTTGATAACAAACACAAAACAGGCAATATATACATGTTTATATATGAAACCGAACCTTCTCGGACCTATGTAATGCACATATTTAGTGTCGTTCTACCTATATGAACATTTTGATGCTGTTCATTCAATCAAAAGTGTTTTGCGTGATTCTGAATGTCTTCTCCGAATCATTTTTGTTATGTTTATTTTAGCAACTCATTAAAGAATTTTTTGTTCTGATTGTAACATTACCGTGAGTCTGAATGTCTTTTCCGAATCTTTTTTGTTATGTTTATTATCGCTTCTCATTAATGAATTTTTGTTCTAATTTTTACATGATACGTTTACCTTCAGTGTTATTTAGAATAGAATACATACATACAATAGATTAGAATTGGTTAAAAAAAATTTATATCATTTAACATAAAAATAAGAAAATGTAGCAGTTGAAAAAAGATGTCACCATTTCCTGTAAGTAATGCTGCATATTCAAAGTTCCTAAAATAGATAAAATCAGTATCTAAGAATATTTTTAGAATGATTTGTAGAGAATAATATTGTGCGGCTGCATTTAGTAATATTGTTGATATTAAAAACTAAATGCTTGTAACGTACACCAATATAGACATAATAAAATTGATAATGCATGATTCAACATCTATTTAATAAATAACAAATTAATAAACGCAACACCATTGCTCTATACAAACGTCACATGGTGAAGTGTTGAATTTTGATTTCAAAACTTAAGAAATAATTTTTATATTGCATGTATCATCATTAATGGGTCGTGTAATTATCATTCAGACATTTGCTTTTAAGAAAGTACGAAAATGTACATTTTGAGCAGTCGATAACAATCATATTTGGTGAAATCTTAAGCCGTTTACGCTATGTCACAAACCTTATTAGGTCAGTAGAGGGAACTCGCCATACTACCTTAAATTGAGTTATGGAAGTTACTTTTTTTCTTTAAGAAAAATTGTTTTTTTTTTTTTCCCCACGATATTTATTAAGGGGGGAACTTTTTTATTTTATTATTAAAACTTTTCAAACCTTATAAAGAATGTCTCTAAACATATGTAGCCCATTTTTATCATTTATATAAATTCACTGTTAGTCATAAGACAGACTTTGTTGGAATCTCAATATATGTAGTCTGTTTAATTGAAACATTCTACTTAACTTAAGAAATTTTCCGTATAGAACTAATAGATCTAGTATTTCCCGGTTTCATCTTCATAAATTCAGAATTTTAACTTCGTGAATTCCCGTTTTCAACATGTGGAATTCACGATTTCAGCTTCATGGATACCCGATTTCAACTTCACGAGTTCACGTTTTCAACTTCACGAATTCACTTTCGTGAATTCACGATTTCAACTTCACGAATTCACAATTTCAACTTCACAAATTCAACGTCGTGAATTCACGATTTCATCTTCACTAATTCACGATTTTAACTTCATCTTGTTCAGAATCTTGTTCTACTACTTAGAAGTACCTCTTAGAAGTACCACTTTATACTACTCTGTACAATTGAATATTTGCAATGTTTTATTATGTTGCCAATATTTTTTCTGTTAATGTAGTAGCTTACATACTTATTTCCCTTAATCTTTTTTAATAATAGTTATGTAAGCATTGCTAGATATTTGCTTAGATTTTTGTTTATATTTTATGTTTTTGTCAATGTATTCTGTCGATGTGTTAGCTTTATAATTATAGGCTCTATCTACCTTTACCTAAGTCACAAGACAGACATTGTTGGAAGTCTATCTAATTGAAACATTCTACTAAATTTAAAAAAATGTTCCGTATAGAACTAAAAGATCTAGTATTTCGGATGAAGTCCGTCTTAGAACACTTTTAACTTCCAGTAAATATACAGGTAAGAACTGAATATAGTTAGAAAGACCGGAAGGGGCATTTCAACTTCATGACTTTCCGATTTCATCTTTATGAATTCACAATTTTAGCTTCGTGAATTCCCGTTTTCAACATGCAGAATTCACGATTTCACGAATTCAGATTCATAAATACCCGAATTCAACTTCACGAATTCACGATTTCAATTTCATGAATTCCCGATTTCAATTTCACGAATTCAACTTCGTGAATTCCCAACTTCAGCTTCATGAATTCCCGATATCGATTTCACGAGTTCACGATTTCAACTTCACGAATTCAACGTCGTGAATTCACGATTTCAACTTCATGAATTCACGATTTCAGCATCATGAATTCAAGATTTCAACTTCATTAATTCACGATTTCAACTTCATCATGTTCAGAATTTTTCTACTTCTTAGAAGGGAGATATTGCTATACATAAAATAGCACAATATATCAACTCGAAGTACAATTTGTCGAATTAACCCTACGGACAGTCCTGTAAAACTGTTTGCATTAATTAAGATAAATTGTTAATAAATTTGTTGAGTTTTCACAATTCATTTAATTTTAATACCCCTATTTTAAATATGCTAAATCTGATCTTGTTAATATAACTGCCAAAATATGCACACGATAACATCTCCTTCAGGGACAAATTCAAAAAAGAAAAACAAGTAAAACATACAAATATACTCTAAAACAGGGAAATGTTCTACTTCGAAGTTTATCTATATTTAGGTTTATAATAAATATCAAAGTCTGGAAAAGCTCTTAGGAACTGAAAATATATCAAACCCCGCATGAACAATACATTACTCTCGTGGGCCAATAACATGCATATGCATTACCATCGAAATGTTCCTGTAACTTTAACTTTATAAAAAGGGTTGGGCAGTCTTTTTTTAATATTTTAGGCAGATTAATGGTCTATCGTTAAGTTTTTTCAATAGCAACTGTTGGTCAATTATCATATTAATAGTGAATGTTTTGAGATATATATTAAGTTAATATTGACAATGAACTAGAAATGTATCGTCACAACACGGATGTGCAGCCAACATGCAGCCAAAATGTCAAATGTTGTAGTAATATTTAGTTTCAAATTTGTTTGCACAAACTATTTTTTCATTCTAAGTTGAAAGCCCTTAAACTATTCAATGTTAACACAAACCATTTTTATACAAAGTTCAAGGCCATGAAACTATTTTATCTATGTTTACCTTTTGCATATTGCATATCTGTAGCCGAGAAAATGACTTCATACATTTCCACATGTGGAATGCGGAAACTGAAAATTTCAATTTTTTCCTAAAGTTCAAAATCAATGAACCATGACCACATTCAAACTTGGCCTGCTTATTCCTAAGATGCATCTATATGTCCAATATGAGTTGAATGTGTACAACCGTTGGGGAGATATGGACGGAAAGTAAAACTTTCTTCTTTTTTTCAAAGTGAAAGGGGCATAACCCTGCCAGAAATTATCAAATCATGACTTAATTCAAACCTGACCAGCGTATTTCTTTGACATATCTATACCCTAAATTTGAATTGAATAAGTTCAAATGTTTGGGATATAATGAAGGAATTATTAAGTATGTAAGTAAGATAGCATCACTCGCGCGTCTACCGGCTAACGCATATTCCACACTTTACAGTAACATGTTTGCAATGTTTAATTATGATGTCAATATAATTTCTGCTAATGAAGTAGCTTACATTTATTATTTCCCTTAATTTTTAAATAATGGTTAAACTAGCATTGCTAAAAATGTTTCAATTATCTTATATTATATTTTATGTTATTGTCAATGAATTCTGTATGTGTGTTAGCTTAATATATGCTCAATCTATCTTCAATATTTAGTTTGGTGATTATTATGAGAGGTGTAATATTGTTGGTCCAACATATTCCTACTCATTTAAGTTATAAATACACATCCTCATAGTCACTTAAATAATTATTGGCACACTCGAATACGAAATTTACTTGTTACGCTATAATATCTCATACAACACACAACACATAGATTGATAACCGATATATCTTAAGTATCAAATCGCAAAAAAAGCATGGTGAAACATCGCTGTCAATTTGAATGTTCACAGTCAATTTTAATTTCTTTTATCAAATTGTTATCTTTTTACTTTTTAGGCACCTTGCACTTAAATACAAACGTTTTGTGTTTCCATAATTTTGTCTTTGTTGTTGAATTTTTGTCAAAATGTATACAAAGTTGTAAACAAAAGTTAAATAGTGAAATTTGCAGAATCGGTTTGATTTAGTCAAGCGATGACTATAATAATAATAAATGATGATGATTGCAAAATATCTTACCCACTAGTTCCGGCTTTAGCGGTATCCAATCTTCTCTCTTCGAAAATGTTAGGGAAAAAAAATTTATTTTCTATTGATCAATATAGCTTAATTTTTTTCAATTTGTTTTACATATTATTTTTTGTATTATATTTGAATAATATTTTTATTATGTTTGCTAGCAAAAAAAATCATGACATTCGTTCAGTATGTTAAATTGATCTGCTATCTATTACCCTTTTTATACGCCCGTTTGAAAAACGGGACGTATTATGGGAACGCCCCTGGCGGGCGGGCGGTCGGACGGGCGGGCGGCGTCCAATTTTGTCCGGAGCATATCTCCTACATGTATGGAGGGATTTTAATGAAACTTCATAGAAATGTTCACCACTATGAGGAGCAGTGTAGTACACATGAACCAGGTCTCTAGGTCAAAGGTCAAGGTCACACTTAGAGCTCATTGAAAAATGCTTGTCCGGAGCAAAACTTCCACATGTATAGAGGGATTTCAATATTACTACGCACAAATGTTCACCATTGTGAGGCGGAGTGTCGCGCGCAAGATTCAGGTCAAGGTCACACATAGAGGTCAAAGTTCAGATAAAAATATGAAGATGTGTATATGGACCATTTAGTCATCATTTATTGAGGGATTGTAACACACAAATGGTCTTATCAAGACTATGGCTGTGATACATATAATTTAGGTCAATATATACAAGGTCAAGGTCACTAAAGATGATGAAATATCCAGATTTTGTCCGGAGCATATCTCCTACACGCATGGAGGGATTTTAATGAAATTTCATAGAAATGTTCACCATTATGAGAAGCCATGTCCCGCACATGAACTAGGTCTCTAGGTCAAAGGTCAAGGTCACACTTATAGCTCATTGAAAAACGCTTGTCCGGAGCAAAACTTCCACATGCATAGAGGGATTTCAATATAACTTGGCACAAATGTTCACCATTGTGAGGCGGAGTGTCGAGCACAAAATTCAGGTCCCTGCAGCCAAGGTCAAGGTCACACATAGAGGTCAAAGTTTAGATAAAAATATGAAGATGTGTATAGGGACGATTTAATCATCATTTATTGAGGGATTGTAACACAAATGGTCATTATCATGACTACGGCTGTGACACATGTACTTTAGGTCAATATATGCAAGGTCAAGGTCACTAAAGATGGTGAAATATCCAGATTTTGTCTGGAGCATATCTCCTACATGTATGGAAGAATTTTTATAATACTTTATGGAAATGTTCACCACCATGATATGTATTGCTCCATGCATGATCCAGGTCTCCAGGTCAAAGGTCAAGGTCACACTTAGAGCTCATTGAAAAACGCTTGTCCGGAGCAAAACTTCTACATTCATAGGGGGATTTCAATATAACTTGGCACAAATGTTCACCATTGTGAGGCTGAGTGTCGCACGCAAAAATTCAGATCCCTGCGACCAAAGTCAAGGTTACACATAGAGGTCAAAGTTCAGATAAAAATTTGAAGATGTGTATAGGGACCATTTAGTCATCATTTATTGATGGATTGTAGCACAAATGTTAACTATCATGACTACAGGTGTGACACATTTAATTTAGGTTAATATTTGCAAGGTCAAGGTCACTGGAGATGATTAAATATCCAGATGTTGTCCGGAGCATATTTTCTACATGCATGGAGGAATTTTAATGTTACTTTATAGAATTGTTCACCACCATGAGACGTAGTGCCCTGCACATGAACCAAGTCTCTAGGTCAAAGGTGAAGGTCACAGTTAGAGCTCATATAAAAACGCTTGTCTGGAGCAAAACTTCTACATGCATAGAGGGATTTCAATATAATTTGGCACAAATGTTCATCATTGTGAGGCCGAGTGCCGTGCATAAAACTCAGGTCCCTGCGACCAAGGTCAAGGTCACACATCCTGTGCATATCTTCCCTACTGATTTGTTTTAAGGTTCATTTAACAACACAGTGCAAAGAATAAAAACTTGCTTGCTAGATAACACTTATCCATAATGCCCCCATCTCCATCTAAAGCTTTCGTAAACGGGCGTATTTTGTGACTATGGCACCCTTGTCTTAAAAATATGATTGATATAATCTATTCTATGTTTTGTCCTGACTAAGAGCAAAATGTTTCAATTTATGTTCAGTCAAACAACTATTTATCACTTTATTAATACAGCTGTTTTAATCATTCATATACCAAATTTTAATGAGTACCATCTTAGAAAAAGTGAGTGGATATTATTGACCAATTTTCAAGATTTTTCACTTTAGTCATAATTATTTTAGATGTAAATGTAACATTAGTTTTTGAACGTAAAGCACTTTAATGAAATTACCTGCGTTTCGATATTTTGGCGTAAACTGATATTTTAGAGTTAGAGTTAAAAAGATCTGAAAATGGCTGTTTAATTGATCACAATAAAAGCAAAATTTCAAGCTGAAAAGTAGCAGAAATGCTTTGCTTTGGTCGGTTTCTGAGTGTTAACAGAACCTGCGACATCCCTCTAACTCATAGTACCGGTTTGAGCGGTATTCTGCTTCAAAAGTAACAACATTTTGAACGTATAAGTGTAATGTTACTTTCAGCCTAATTTTTGTAAATTAGTTGTATTAGGCTGAAAGTATTAGAATTATACTTTTTTTTTTTACTAAGCTTCATACTCCTTGTTCACAAAGAAATGATCAAGATCAGGATCAGGATCACGTGATACTGCTTTTTGTTTGTTTATATATTAAAGCTAAAGATAAGCAGTTACAGTTTACAGTTACAATTTATTTGGCTAAATCGGCATGAAAACTAGCTTTGGCAATTTACAGAAATATATACAATATAAATGTAACACATAAAACATATAAACATCGAACGATTAATTTAACAATATTTATATTTATATAATTGAAAGTAATTAAACAGATGACTCTATGTATGCTTTTAAGGAGTAGCCATATTTGCAATCATTTCTGCTCTTAATTTCATAGCACATGAACTAAATTTTGAAACGTTTCTTATTTTTCCCGTATTGTACTTGACAAAAGAAAATAAAATTTATTCACAGTAGGGAAGGAAGAGTTTATACAATATTTTTCACGCAGCTCTCTATAAATAGGACAACAGAGTAAAGATTAGCAAGAAAACAAACTCATTTCAAGTTAAAGTCATGGAATGGTAATACACCTTGTATCATAAACTAAATAAAGGTAAGGATTTCTTTTACGACCAAAATCAATATTTGTATTTTAAACACGAATATATTTTAAGACAGAAAAAAAAATCTTTTTAAAAGTGCATATTAAATATATGAGTAAGCAATGGAGAAATTTTGAAATTTAAATTTTGATGTTGATTGTTAAATCTTTGTGAAATTGAGGCCTGTGGAAATGTACATGCCTTTTAAGTTTTTGAAACCATTACTAAAGCGAAACTTGTAGACTCGGTAAGATTAAGTCTGTAAGTGAGATAGCTTTACTCGCAATCTTTACAATTAAATGTTAGCAATGTTTTATTGTGTCCTGAATATTTTTTTCTGTAAATGTAGTAACTTACATAATTATTGTTCTTAATGTTTGAATAATAATAATAATAGCATTGTCTAACATGTTTCATTTTTCTTTATATTTGCTTAGATTTTTGTTTATATTTTATGTTATTGTCAATGTATTCTGTCGGTGTGTTAGCTTAATATATGCTCTATCTATCTTTAATATTTAGTTTGGTGATTATTTGATTTGTTCTTTGTAATGTTATGTAATAAGAGGTGTAATATTGTTGTTCCAATTTTACTTTAAGTAAAACGTACTTGTCATAATTATCCCTCAACAATTTACGTTCTTTAATCATTCCGCAATGATAAATGTAATTAGTATCATCGCAAAAAAGCATGGTGAAACATCGCTGTCAATTTGAATGTTCACAGTCAATTTTAATTTCTTTTATCAAATTGTTATCTTTTTACTTTTTAGGCACCTTGCACTTAAATACAAACGTTTTGTGTTTCCATATCTTTGTTTTTGTTGTTGAATTTTTGTCAAAATGAATACAAAGTTGTAAGCAAAAGTTAAATGGTGAAATTTGCAGAATCGGTTTGATTTAGTCAAGCGATGACTATAATAATAATAAATGATGATGATTGCAACATATCTTACCCACTAGTTCCGGCTTTAGCGGTATGCAATCTTCTATCATCGAAAATGTTAGAATTTCTATTGATCAATATAGCTTAATTTTTTTTCAATTTGTTTTACATATTATTTGTATTATAGTTGAATAATATTTTTATTATGTTGCTAGCAAAAAAATCATTACATTCGTTCAGTATGTTGAATTGATCTGCCATATATTACCCTTTTCTTAAAAATGTGATTCTGACTTAATCAGAGCAAAATGTTTCAATTTATGTTCAGTAAAACAACTATTTATCACTATATTAATTCATGTTTATTAATCATTCATATACCACATTTTAATGAGTACCATCTTAGAAAAAGTGGGTGGATATTATTGACCAATTTTCAAGATTTTTCCCTTCAGTTGTAATTATTTTTAGATGTAATTGTATGTACATGTAGCATTAGTTTTTGAACGTAAAGCACTTTTGTGAAATTATTTGCGTTTCGATATTTTGGCGTAAACTGATTTTTTATTAAGTTAAAGTTTAAAAAGGCCTGAAAATGGATGTTTTAAACAAAATTTATATTTTTTTCACTGATATTCATTTCAGAGTTATTTTGTTATAATTAATTTTTAAGATGTGTAATAATAATAATTATAATAATAATAATAATAAGACCAATAAAAATAAATATATAATAATAATAACAACAGTAATTCAACTTCAGTTTCGATAAAACGTGCCAGTTATCATTTTGTTTGTTTCCAATGAGCTATGATATATCCTTAACCTAACTGTATAGTTTCAATTGTATCTTGAAATTCTTTGAGTGTATGTTTGGTTTCTGTGCAAGTTATTGGCTTATAGCGTTCAATCCTTTATCGCTTGTTCCACTATACATGTATATATAATAAAATATATTACTCATACCTAAAACGTTGTTATCTGTTTTTATTACCCAAACTCTAAATACGAGGTTTATTCTGTTACGTTTAGACATTTTTTACTCAGTCTGTTTTGAATGGAGATTATCGTTTACTGAAATGATTTTAGTATTATTGTCCAACAACATTGACCTGGCACTCTTGCATTTGACCCTGTAGTCGGTATATTCCGTAAACGTTACGATCTACATACTTGTAAATCGATATAAATGTCAATATGCAATTGTTGACATGTAAATTAAAAATTCCCTTTTAGCGCAGTTAGTAAAGGCTTTTCACTTGAAGAATGTTGACGTAAACTGGTTGGTTCGATACTTATTTTAGCGATTTTTTTTTCTTTTTTCCTCTTTTTTATTTTAATTTTAAAATTGCCATTCTATTAAAACTATTGCAAACCTTTTCGATTTACCATCTGTTAAGTATTATTAAATAACTGTCTTTATAGCGTGTATGCGCTAAAGCATGTACGATTGCACAATGCCACAAAGAGAACCGTTGAAAGATATTGTTAAAATAAAATTAAAAAAATAATTGTGTATAAAAACATGACTTAAAACATTTCTAAAACCAGGTGTAGAAAACGATTTCAAATTAATTCTTGCAAGTAAATTTAAAAAACAATCATAACGTGGTGTTGAAAAGTATCGAACCATAGACCTTCAGATCGGTAGTCCGAAATCTATACCAATACACCACACCTCACTAACGAGAAAAGTTAGCTCAAATATCGATATATAAGATAGATACTGGTCAGTGTTAATTCATATGACCTTTACGAAAGTTAATGAAGTGCCAGGTCAATGTTGTTGGACAATAACTTTATATTACGTTATTTGTTTATATTGCGACAATATATTTTAGTTTACGGGACTTAAGAATATACGCTTGGTAAATTGGTATACGTCAATCTCCACGCAGTGGTCTCCCCTTGATTCTTCGGCGTAGATCTCTGCCACCACGGTCCCATATATCAGAATTTCTGATACACTATATATATATTTTTTAAATTGATTTATCCACAGCTATTATCTATCAGTTAAGTTTTTTCGCATTGATAAAACAATGTTTATGAATAAATAAATAAATGAATGAATCAATCAATCAATCAATCAATCAATCAATCAATCAATCAATCAATCAATAAATATAAATATGTGACACGCTTATATTAAAGTTTGTGAATTTGCAAATGACTCTAGGTGTTTATAGATTTCTATATTTTCTGAAAGCCTAGCTATCAGAGAAATGGTAATATATAGGTATTAAAAGACCAGAGGTAGAGTTAAAACGAATAAGCTTGTATAAATAAAAATAGTTGGACCTTTGTTATAAATCCCTACCAGCAGCTTATATTTATATCAAATAGAAGCCTCGCTCATAGTGAGGTAGTTGCTGGACTATAGGAAATTATCGGTTTGCAGCTTGATATCTTATTGTTTTGAATTATTTCATAGTGTTAAATCTTAAACATATTTACTATATTGTGACTTTTGAGAATTATATAGTGTATTTCGACGTATTAACTCAAGCTGATTACTTATGGTATATGATAATTTCATAATCATTTGTATCTAATCAAACGACAGGTTGCACAAAGGAATATTTATAATATATTCGTTATATATTCGCTCGGTACACGTTACAGTTCAAAATGTTCGTGGACTGTGGCTCTACTGGTCAGATAACAAGATTTTACAAATATTGGAGCATGTCCATAATATATTATAGTAAACATCAATACAATATGTTTACAAATAACAATTTTGTGAAAATTACAAATAGCAAGGGGTATGCGACCCGCCGCCGCTCATAGTACAACACAAAGATGTTCGTGGCGTCGTTATATAAATGGAAAAAAATGTCCCCAGCGTCATTGTTGTTTCTAAAAGTACTCTCTCGAGTGTTCAATGTCTCCAGACTATGTAACAATAAACGGATTTCTGTTGAGAAAGAAGGCGGCTATCTCTTCACACCCTTTTCGCATAAAGTTCCAAGAGTCGGTCGCTTTTCACTCTCTATCGGGATATTTTATTAAACTCGACACTTAACGGACAGTCTTATCAAGTGCAGATAATTTGTTATTAAAAGTATCAATTTTAAAACAATATCATCCGATCTATAAGCAATATGATTATTAATATATTAATTTATATGATTTTATATTAAGAAAAATATATTTTCAACTGACATTTATTGTCTGCGGTAAATCTACTAACAGGCTAGCATTTATAATTATTAAACAAGTCAGGGAAATGTATGTTACACAAATATAAAACTGTGTATCGTTATTACAATTATTTATTGGAAGTACAAATATATCCTGATGAATAAAATAAGATATTGTCTAAATTAAATTGTTTGATCAGAATTGAATGTGTAGACGAGATACATAAATTAAACATGCCGGACAGCTCGCAAAATGTTGTTACTGTCGATCCCCACGTAGCGTTTTTGCTGATGACGTTACTAACGTCACCCTGACAATTTGCAGCTTTCTTCCGGTGACGATTTGCAGCTTTCTTCCATCCCCACTTCCAGTTTGTGATCTTGTATTCGCCATCTTTTAATTGCTTGCGCCGGCTGAACCTATGATATGAAAATGATATCCTATTTATTACCCTTCATTAATTTACCATCCCATATGTAACTGAAGAAGTATTCCTGATTCGTTGGTTTAATCTCGTTTTTAAACGAGCGTCATATTTTTGCAATTTACGCTAATGACAAATGCTGCTAAAAATCGGTTTGTTCAGCCATTTAACGTCCAAATGAGGTCAACTTTATGATATATGTCAATTAAACATTAATAGATATTTACCCGCAATTTCATCTTGAAATGACTGTTCAATTTAATGTAACGTTAGATCATATTTAAAAACATTTCGGCGTGCGTCGATTTTGCGTTGCCATGGTTATTTAAGTACACAAAGCTCGTGAAGGAAATAAAAAATACGATAAAAGTAAAACTCACTTTTAGAAATAAAGACACCCTCTGTTTCCATGATCCAAGTAAAATGGCAGCAAAATTCCACGAACTTTTGAACATATCTAATACACTCATCTAATACGCTCACAATAAACATTTATAATTGATTATGTAACACATTTGTTTGCTTAACACTTTGTGGTACAGCTCGAATTTGCAATTCTTTTCATTATCTGTTTACATCAATATTGGCGAATAGTCGATAATTCGTAAGTAAAAGCATACTTTTTATCGCCTAAATATTTTACCACCTAATCAATCATTCATATTTTATGCGTTAAGAATAATGGCGTACGAGGATTGACCAAAAAGTTCTTGACACGATCTCCGTCCGGAAGTGAGGGAACCCAACTAATGGTCTTACTTTTCAATATAATCGCCCTCTATATCAATGCATTTGCCCACCTTTGCTCCAACTTGTTTAACCTGCAAAATAGAACACTCTATTTTGGTCCTAAAAACTCATTAACCGCCTCCATGACATCTTCAATGCTTCCAAAACGTCTACCACGAAGCCTGGTTTTAGGTTTCGGAAACAGGCAGAAGTCAGAGGCGAATATGGGGAATGGGGAAGATTTTCCAAGCCGCAATCAGTTCCAGCAGCCATCGTAACTTGGGATGTGTGAGCTGGCACATTTTCGTGCAGGAGTAGAACGCGTTGAGACAGTTTGCACTCCTTTTACGCGCGATTTCTTGACGGAGACGTCTTAATTCGCCTGCATAGTATGTACCGTTTATGGTACTACCTTGTTCAAGATAGCCAATCATGATTATCTCCTGACTATAAAAAATGAAGACATGATCTTCCCTGCTGATGGCACCCTCTTGAATTTCTTCGGAGGGGGTGAGCCAGGGTGCTTCCACTGCATGCTCTGTTTTTTTGGATTCTGGATCGAAGTGATGGACCCACGTTTCATCCTGAGTTAAGACCCGGTAGATTAAATCAGGTTCATCCTCGTAGCGAGACAAAGATATCTTAATTTATCAAGTCTGGTCCGTTTCTGGTCGTCAGTCAACTGCCTGGGGACCCATCTAGCGGAAACCTTTGACATCCCATAGACATCAGTCAGAATTGCATAAACTGAACCATAGCTTATACCCAGCAGGCACATCGACGTTGTTTCAACGTTGAATTATGGTCATATTTCAACGTTGAAATAAGGTTGGATTTATATTTGGATTTGAAAGTTGAAACAACGTTGAAATTTCAACGTTGATACAACGTTGCAGCTTCAACGTTGGCACAACGTTGAAGTTTCAATGTCATTTCAACGTTGAAAACCCACCATACTTTAATTTTTGGATATAAAGCAAAGTAACCAAGTTTAACAAAATATCAAGACAATATTAAATACTTCAGATATTTTATTTTCAAATACAGTTTAAGTCCAGCTTAAATTCTCTTTAATAGTTTTAACAATTAAGCTACAATCTGTTCCAATCTTTTCTTCTAGATCTTTATGGGTATGTCAAGTGTTTGAGTACTTCTTTGGCTGTCTCTTACTGCTTCTGCAAATAAAAATAAGAAGTTTGAAGTTAAAAGTGACTTGGTCAATCTCAAATTATACATATAATTACTCAACTTAGTGATTTGTTTTTATCTTAAAATGCTTTTCTCTAAGATTTACATCATAAAACAGCATAGAAATTGAAACATAGCTAAGTTAGCTAAGTTTCATATTGACAGCAAATACTGTATATAAGACAACAAAATCTTTTTAAAAAGAAGCTATTTAAAAGTCTCACCTATGATTGGATAGAAAATCTGCTCCCCATCAGTTCCTTGCAAATTAACATTCTAGGCTCTAGCTAAGACCATTTAATGCAGCATCCTGAAATCAACAAACATGTAAATTTTATATTAATAATGTTACAGGAATATTCCGAAAATAATATATTTTAAGACAAGATAAATATCCAGTAGTTGAAAAATTTATACTTTGTATTGTAAAGAAATTCAAATATATAAATTAATAAGAAAAAATTTCAATTTAACAAACCTGACAGTCCTTTTCATGTTGAATGTATGGTATACAGGCTACAGCTGCAATACTTTAAATTTCAGCCAGGACCAGGATCTAGAATATAAAATAATATATAAGAAAATAGAAATAGATTTATTATTCCCCATCAATTAACGACTATTAAACTTTAAAGTTTAACACTCAAATTTGTTATTTAACTTAATAATAATTTTTTTTCAAACTAATTAACACTGTATTATACTATCACTAAAATGTAAACATAGTTATATATATTGGGACGTAAATTATGTGGTATTATACCATCACTAAAATATAAACATAGTTATATATATTGGGACGTAAATTATGTGGGCCGAACTTCTTTATAGGTTTCAATTTTATAATTGATTAAATTCTAATTAGGATATGGTACAGACAAATGTTTAATAATATGAAAAATAAATTAAAGAAAGACAAGATTTGTAAAATCATAAATTGCCAAGGACTTCAATAACTTCTTCATGCTTACTAGGCCTACCGAACCCAAATCATTCAATTAGGTCGCGAAAACGTGTCAAATCAACTCAATCATGTGTTTTCATCTCTCATTTATTTCATAAAGTAAATTAAAGTAGAATTTTAAGAATAAATAATAGAAAATTTTAGAAAATAATCAGTAAACTAAAGTAAAACATAACGGTAATACCTTCGAAATCCAAATAAATTGCCAATCGTGTTGTTTTCAAATTTTCCAAACAGCGCCACCATTTGCACGAACGATAATCATAGACAACAAACAAAATCATAGACCGCAACAAATACTTCCCCTGATAAGCGTTATTTTATAAACGGGGTTTTGACTAATATCAATTTATTAATTATTATTATATAAAGAACTAAAAAATAAAACAACAAACAACAAAACATATTAACTAATATTTAAAGCGTTAATGGAAAGTGAAAAATTATTTCTAACTTTATTTGTTTAAGCGCTAATTTTGAATATACGGGAAAAGATTGTTACGCAAATTTTCCTGACAAAAACACTTACAGACCAATTCAATAAAGGAATAATAACACAAAATTAGAGGTATAAAAGTTTATATAATGATTAAACTAAATGTAAATCAACGTTGTATATACATTGGCAATATATCCGTATGGTCGTCCATAGTTGAATATTGGTTGAACAACGTCACGACCATATTTCAACGTTGTTTCAACGTTGAAACAACGTCAAGTGCCTGCTGGGTACCCACTACCCTAGCAATGCTTCGCAGTTCTCGCCTTCTGTCGCACATGACCTGATCATGCACAGCTTCGACAGTTTCATCGTTGGTGGCGTCATTTGGCCACCCAGGCCGCTCATCATCTCTAATGCTCTCCCTGCCCCTCTTAATTTCAGCAGCCCATTTTTTCACAGTGCTATAGAAAGGGGACTCCTTCCCAAGTGTATCCATGAAGTCTTCATGGATTTCCTTGGGGACATCCCTTTCTTACAGAGGTACTTAATGACGGCTATGATTTCAACTTTCTCCGTTTGGTTTAAATGTCACACCTCTCTACTGATTCAAGTGTGTTGTTTTATGTTACTTAATCTGTGTAAAACCGCGAGTAACTCGGTCAGTAATCTTCAATATGTTATCGGTATCGACATATCGTGTGTGAATGTCAGTGTAGTGGCTAGAAGTATATCGGGCCGATAACTTTTTGATCATACCTCGTATAAAGACGGTTTCATTGAATAATGTTGAATCACCCTTAGGATATGAACGCCTGCTTTTTAAATTTGTCTTTTGACGTCTTATCTGTGATACGCAGGCTTCATAACCTTTCAAAATTCCATTTTATTTAGTTCCGCCCATTGTTTTCTCGTTTAGGGCACACGCTTTTTATTACTTTGGGACCATACGCCGCTTTTCATGGAATGGCACGAAAGTGTCACATTGAAGGTTCCATGATAACCGCCGTATGAACACATCTGCGGATGTTTCTAAATTCAAAATTTTACTCTTTCATGTTTAATTCTGCTTAAGCCGGTGCTAGGGGGCGTGGACGGTAACTTGCACTTTCCAGTACCGTCCATGAGCAGACTCAATCAAACCGAGCCTGCAACATTTTCAATATATCCGTGTTGGGCTTTCTTTAGGGATTCTGTATTTATCTATTTCAAGGGAAAAATGAAATGTAACAACATGAGGCAGTTATGGCGTTTTATATCTTTTACTCTTAGTTTGGATTGTATTTCCACTTCCATTTCCATGACAGCGCATTTCCAGGTAGTGCATCATTTCAGCTTACATTCAAGTTAAACAAAAGTATCGATTTGTCCAGCCACTTTGACAAATTCACAAAATTAAAGCACAATAAATATTCTATTAAAGAGCATTTCGACTTTCGAATATTAACTGTCTTGTAATATTGTCGTGTTCATAGTTTTTCTGCACGCATGTTATGTCCTGCCTTATTATAAAGATGATATATCAAAATTTTTCTCGTGTTTGCCTTATATATGATTTATAATTCTGATCATCAAAATATGTCGCTGTTGTGTCTTTTTTAATCTATTTGAGAGGAAATTTGTGACGCTTAAATTTAATACTTAGCATTTTGTTGAACTTTTATTTTTTCTATTTATACAGACACATTTTTACAACACATAGTATATAAAATACATGTATATATGGCACACACATGAGATGAAGTTTTGAACAACTGGCTGCATTTTTCTTGATCCTTTCTGTTTTTTCTTCGTCAAAATTTATAACGCATATGTTCTATAAGTAGTGTGATTGGTAATTCTTGAATGTTATCTAAATGCGTAATCTAAACTTTTTTTAACATCAGCAACAAAAATACCATGCGTTGGTAAACACAGTTAAAATTTCTACAATCGAACCTAAAGGTATTTAAAAAATGTACTTATCAATATATTTTAAGTTTCAAGTCAATATTGTTGCATTTTGATTATTTGATATCAGTTATACATTTTTATTCTCATGATGTTTGTTTGTTTGTTGTTTTTTTTGTATTTTTTCGGCACGTCAACACACAACTGGCCATATCGTGCCGATTGCTATAATAGGCTTAAAATGTTATGTAAAACTTTGTAAATGACAATAAAAATGAGTCAATTAGATCCTAGAATACAAGTTTATCTCTTTCAAATAATCAATGATGTTTTTTATGGAATTGTATTAAAGAGTTCTTTGAGTGAATTTACACGATAAAATCTATTACGGGCCTGTGAAAATTCATGACATTCAAGGAGAAAATGTTTGACAGTAAAATATTCATTACAAGCTACACAGAAAGGGGCATTGTCATTCATGAGGAGATACAAATGGGTAATTTTAGTGAGTCCAATTCGGCATCGAAGAAGAACTATTTGATCATGGCTGTTTGACAGAGATAGAGATGGTGACACATCAAGAGATGGGTTTATATCGTTAAGTTTATTAAAATATGATAAACAAGATCAACAAGAAAGGCGGCGTTCAATGAACGCAACCCCCATATGACCCAGCAACAAGAACCAATGGCAAGGAGCCCAGGCAGACCCCAAACAAAAACAGGACAGGGCAAAGACAGGTTAATCATTAAATGATAAATAATTTGTAACTGATTAGGAATTCAAAGAAAAGAATAATAGGCCCACAAAGGGGACAGGAGACCGGGGGAAGGGGGGGGGGGGGTAATCAAAGAAATAAAAACTAGAGGCAAAGGGGAAGATACTTACCGTAGACGAGAAAACAACAAGGGACACAAGCAAAAGTGTCACCAAAACAGTATGAAACAACATATACATACATCTGAGGAACACAGTGGGGCGCCGCCTTGGAACGGTCAGCAGCATAATAATGACTGCTGGGGAGTTTAAACCGGTTAATGGTGCACCAAACCTGGCTCTTAGCCCCACCATGTTCCTATAAACGAGACAGTGTAAATAAAATGAATCCCCGCCAAGTGAAATTCTAACAGTTGTCATGGTTACAAAAGGTTAAATAAGTAAAACACTAAAATGATCATGTAGAAACATATAAAAGTAAACCCAATGACCATAACAAAAGTACTCAATGTCCTAAAGGAAGACAGAGCAACAAGAAAATCACCTGCAAGGGCCCGACGAAGCAATGCAGAAGACGAACATTAAGACAATTCAGTCCCAAAGGGCTTTACGAACTATCCATCATAGAGTCTCCCACTTGGTCCGTCAGATGCAATCAAAAGAGGAAAGCGTAGTGTCTAACTGTAAAATGGTTGAACACTAAACATGCAGTATGTCTTAAAATAGTAGGGTCATAACCTCTTTTAATAAAACGTTTAATGATTTTAGTAAAAACAGCAGAAAAATTACCATGACCCAAAATCTTACGAAGTTTGTAAATCACGTCGCCATAAAAACCAGGCTGGCTAATCCCTAAATAGATAAATACAGAATCCCTAAAGAAAGCCCAACACGATAAAATTGAAAATGTTGCAGGCTCGGTTTGATTGAGCCTGTTCATAAGTTACGATTGTAAAATTTAGTAAAATATTCCGTAATTTATGATAGCGGTAGCCCTGTTTTAGAAGCTTGCTGGTAAAAACGGCATTGTCCAAATTTGCTTTCCATTCAGATGATATGAGTTTATTTATAGCCGATCTAACAATAAAATAGAGAAAAAAGAATCCCTAAAGAAAGCCCAACACGGCAAAATTGAAAATGTTGCAGGCTCGGTTTGATTGAGCCTGTTCATGTTTGTTTGAAAATTTAATGCTTGTTTAGGTATAACACCTACTTTTTCATTTTCACGTATACCTTCATCACTTGGAATCCAATATAATTTAACAGATTTTGTTTTAAGTACATCATGAAATCGTAAAAAGAAGTTTCTGAATCATGATATTGTCAGATTTTTTATGTTTAATGGATATTAAAACAGAAAGCGAGTCAAAAAATATCACAAATTTATCATGGGTATGCTGTACTATGTATGACAATGCTAAATCTATAGCTTTTGCTTCTGCGGTAAAAATTGATGCATTATCTGGTTACCTCACACTAGATGTAAAATTATTTCCAAAACACAGCTGCACCTACTTTGCAACCTTCTTTGAACCGTCCGTATAAATATGTATAAAATCTTTATGTTCTTCCTTAATTTCTAGAAACTTTTCTTTGAAATGTTCCGGTGAATTTGATGACTTTTTTTAAATTTGAAAGGTTAATATTTATTTTTGGGGAATGATTAGTCCAAGGTGGAACACCCTCCTCGTCATTTTGAAGGATACTGTCTGGATGAATCTTAAGTTTATCTAAATCATTTGTAAACGAAGGCCTAATGGTTTAATTTCCTTTGGTTTGTTAACAAATTTTTCAGTATAACTTGGATTGAAAATAATATTTTTAGCTGGGTGTTTGCTATTAGATGAAATTCTAGTTGCATATGGAGGTGATAGATTTTTTGACGTAGATGATGTGACGGTTCCCCAGCTTCATAAAGACTTTCTACAGGTGAGATGCGAAAAGCACTTAAAGCTAATCGCAAACCCTGGTGATGTATGGTATCTAGCATTTGAAGATATGATTTTCTTGCAGACCCATATACTACAGAACCATAATCTTGATCGGATAAGACTTGCCGCTGGCTCTTGTTGCTTGGTCGTGTGGGGTTGCGTTCATTAAACGCCGCCTTTCCTTGTTGATCTTTCAGTATAATTTCAGTAATGTGGAGGAATTTGATCCCAAATGTGTACTGGATAAAACCTTTCGAAAATGTGAAGCTTTTAGACATTTAGTTTTCAAATGTTTAATAATTATATTATGTGTTTTTTACCAAATATAATTC